CTGGGGTCCACCGAGAGGCCTTGCCGTTGCCCGGATGGCTGCCTGTGGTCAGCGCGTGGTGCCCCCACAGCCCAGCGAAGGTCCCACCTTTCCGTCCCTGCTGGGCCCTCCCAGAGGGTGGAAGCCCTTTCTCCTGTTGTGAGAGTTGCAGGCCTGGATGGAAGGAGGGTCTCTGCCTCCTACGCCAGCCCTGGCCCCAGGCCCCCCAACTTTGAATTTTCCTCTCAAGCTGGATAAAGACTGGAAGGGGGGTCCCAGCAGGCACCTGCACCAAAGGCCACTTGAGGTCATCATGGGGCTTGGGTGGCTGTGGAAGTGGCAGTGTGAGGCCTTTCAGAGCAGTTTCTTCAGACCTTTCTAGACCTATACCTCTCTCCAGGCCCAGGATCTGGGCACCTCCTGGGCAATGGGCAGTGACTATACTGACCTCTGACCTCAACCTTACTGATAGCTTCTGTAATTCCCTTCCCATCCTCTCTGGTCTCAGTTAGTTAGAAACTGCCAGGAGAGGGGTCACGTGTTCACATAGCCCCTGCCCACCCTCTTCCGCAGCCTTGGGTGTCCCTGTTAGAGGACCCAGTAGGACTGAGCTCAGAGTCCCTCCAGGTCTCATGCCCATGCAGGCCCAGCTTACGTGGCGAGGTGTTCCCTGTGGCTGGTAGCCAGTGGTCTCTGGGGTGGTGCCGGTGGCCCTGTAGATGGGGACAGAGAGGTTCCGGAGGGTGGAGGTGAGGACAGCCAGGTGGAGGATGGCCGAGAAGCCCAGCCTGCATGTGGCCTCCCTCGGGGTGGAGGGTCCCCAGCAGGAACAAACAGAGAGGGGGTCACATAGGAAGGATCCACTAGGACAGGGACCTCCTTCCTTGGTCCTGCCTCTGGAAAGGGACACACGCAGTTGGGGAGGGGTTAGGGGCCCTCTGTGCCCGCATTGGCCATCTTCCATCTGTGTCCTGGGAGAAAGATCCAGGGGCACCTGCCTGGGTAGGGTGGCATTGCCTTGAGTCTGGGTGGGGCTGTGAAGGAAGGTGTCCCAGGGTGCCCGGCCAACAGCCTGTGTGCCAACAGCCATGTGGTGTCATAATTGGCCCCAGGAGCAATGCTGTTAATCTCCTGCCTGAGCACTCTACCTCTCCTGGGCCACCCAGCCCCGTGCTGGGCGTGAGATGCATGGCTCTCGGCACCTCTGCACTGTGTCTAGGACGCATGGAGCCCATTGGACCTGATGAGTGTCTCAGGACAGGGTTAGATCCTTCCAAGCTGATGGGGTCTCCTGGGGAGAGCTCAGCTGGGCAGTCACTCCCCTAAACTAGAAGCCTCCCATCACCTGCTTTCCCTGTGACCAAGAGCACAGGCAGGCTGGCTCCCTTTTCTGCAGCCAATGAGCAGGTCTGTCTGGGGGGTGGGGTGCAAGGACAGCCATTTCAAGTCCCAAGAGCCGGCCCTGATGGACCTCACAGGTCTGTCCACTTGCTCTGCAGCAATGACTGATCCTTTCTGTGTTGGAAGCGGCCGCCGACTCCTGGGGTCCAGCAAGAGTGGGCCTGGGAAGGAGGGCAGCCAGAATGAGGTCCGACTTCCTGTGCGGCATGATCCAAAGCTGGGTAAGAGGGGTCGGGCTAAGGTCAGCTCCAAGCTGTCGGGAGCAGCAGTGCTGAGTGGGCCACCTCCCGAATGTCCAGCTCCTGGGTGCCAGGTAGCTGCCTGGGCTCCTGAGAGCCTTCCCAGGGTGGGGGCAGCCAGGGGCCCTGGATTCTTGTCCTAGGCTGACTACAGCCTTCCATCCCCAGCCCCATGCCTCATCGGGGGGGAATGAGGCTCACTCCAGGCCTCACCAGGCTCCGGGATAGCAGGAAAGACTACAGGGAGCACAGCTCCAAGCCTTGATGTGCCGTGTGCTGCAGGGTTGCCGGTGGCCCGGGGTGGGCAGACAGTGCCTAGCCAGGCCCCACTCTGCTTTGACCCGGGAAGTCCAGCCAGCGACAGGACAGAAGGGAAGAAAAAGGGGCGTCCGAAAGCTGAGAACCAGGCCCTCCGAGACATTCCCGTGAGCTCCCTGAGGGCTGGGTGGGGCTCATGCTGGGGTCTGCCTGTAAGGCCATTGCCCTGCCTTTGCTTGCCATCCACATGTTCAGCACCAAGCCCTCCGCCCACATCAGTGGGCCACCCTGTGCCTAGGGATTCGTGGCGTGGCCTGGGGCCCAGTGGGCCATGTTCATAGGCCCTCAAGAGCACCCTCACTGCTCAGGGTGGCCTGGATCTTGCTGCGGTCCCAAGGTCAAGGGCTCCTACAGTCTGTCTGCCCTGCAGGCCTGGGCAGGGTGCTGAGTCTGGGGCTCGGGTCAGCAAAGGCCGGGTGGCTGAGGGTCAGCAGCCTGGCCTTTCCCATGCCAGCTCTCTCTGATGACCCAGTGGAAAGACGAATTCAAGGTGCACTCACGGGTGAAGTGTCCCAGCTCAGGGTGCTGGCTGGAGTTCCCCAGCATCTACGGGCTCAAGTACCATTACCAGCGGTGCCAAGGGGTAAGGGGCTGTGGGCTGGGAAAGAAGAGGCCTGAACCCACCCTGGCCAGCTGCTGGCTTGGGTGAGTCTGCACAGAGGCCTGGGCAGCCCATGCCACGCCTGCCCTCTCTACCCAGGGTGCCATCTCAGAAAGGCTGACCTTTCCCTGCCCCTTCTGTGAGGCCGCCTTCACCTCCAAGACCCAGCTGGAGAAGCACCGGATTTGGAACCACATGGACCGACCCCTGTCTGCCCCCAAGCCTGGGCCAGTCAGCCGGCCAGTCACCATTAGTCGGCCCGTTGGGGTCAGCAAGCCCATTGGAGTGAGCAAACCTGTCACTATTGGCAAGCCTGTGGGTGTCAGCAAACCCATCGGTATCAGCAAGCCAGTGCCGGTCAGCAGGCCTGTGCCGGTCACCAAGCCAGTGCCGGTCAGCAGGCCTGTGCCGGCCACTGGAAGCCTCCTTATTAGCAGGTCCGTGCCGGTCACCAAACCAGTGACGGTCAGCAGGCCTGTGCCGGTCACCAAGGCTGTGCCGGTCAGCAGGTCCGTGCCAATCACCAAGGCTGTGCCGGTCAGCAGGCCTGTGCCGGTCACCAAGGCTGTGCCGGTCAGCAGGCCTGTGCCAGTCACCAAGCCCATACCAGTCACCAAGTCTGTGCCCGTCACCAAGGCAGTGCCAGTCACCAAACCAGTGACCACAAACAAGCCAGTGCCGATGACAAAACTTGTGACAGTTACGAAACCTGTGCCCGTCAGTAGGCCCGTGGTGGTCAGTAAGCTGGTGGCCGTCAGCAGGCCCGTGGCCATCGGCAGACACACACCGTCCTGCAAGATGGTGCTGCTGGCCAAGTCTGAGAACAAAACTCCGCGGGCCACGGGGAGGGCCAGTGGGAAAAAAAGGTATGGGGTGCCTTCCAGGGCAGGGGGTGCTCGCCGGCTGCAGCCTGGGGTGCCGGCCCGCAGCGAGCCCCTGACCCCCTGCCTCCTGCTCCGTACCTCCTTCCCTACAGGGCTGCGGACAGCCGGGACGCCTGCCCCCTCCCACCCAAGCAGGCTCGGTCAGAGAGCGGGGAGTGTGGCCCACCCACCACGGGCCCAGGCTCCACCCTCCAGCCCAGCACAGACCCCAGCAGTGGCCCCCTTTCTCTAGGCAGCAGGCCCTTGGGGGGCAAGGAGGTGCCAAGGGCCACAGGCCCTGTGTCCCTGCCTGAAGAGGGAGCTGAGCGCATGAAGCACAGTAAGACCGGGTGGGGGATGTGGCAACAGCCAGGACGGGCAGTGGTCAGCCTCCCTATGGTTATTTGACCAGATCTTGGCCCTCGTTTCTCTCCCCTGAGTCAGGAAGGAAACAGAAAACACCCAAGAAATTCACGGGGGAGCAGCCATCAATCTCGGGAACCTTCGGACTCAAAGGTGAAGCCCCAGTCAGCCGGGCACCGGTGGGACTGGGCTCATGCACAGGTGTGCTCAGGCCCTTGGCCCACACCTGCGCCACCCCACATGTGCACACAGGCCTGGCCAAGGCAGAAGACAAGTCCCGAGGCTACCGTGCCAAGAAGCAGGAGGGGCCTGGCCCTGAGGATGTCCGAAAGAAGGTGCCGGCCCCCACCAACACTGTCAGCAAGGAGGCACCGGCCCCCGTGGCCCACTCAACCCCAGGTGGGGGCTGCTGTGTGGGGGGCACAGGCTGGATCTTGACTGTGAGGTGGTTACTGGACCACACAGACGGGGGCTGAGCGTGGACCCTGGGCTCTGCTTGGCGTTCAGGGCACCTGGGAGCCCGACAGCCCCTGAGGCCCTGGCTCTGCCCCACAGGTGCCCCTGAGGAACAGTGGCAGCGGGCCATTCACGAACGGGGGGAGGCTGTCTGCCCCACGTGCAGCGTGGTCACCCGAAAGACCCTTGTGGGGCTCAAGAAGCACATGGAGGTGTGTCAGAAGGTAAGGCTGCCCCAGGGGCTTCTGGGGGGAGGTGCCCCAGAGCAGCTTCTCATGGGTCCCTTGTCTGCAGCTGCAGGATGCCCTCAAGTGCCAGCACTGCCGGAAGCAGTTCAAGTCCAAGGCCGGTCTCAACTACCACACCATGGCTGAGCACAGCGCCAAGGTACACCACAGGGCCCAGTTGCCATCCAGCCTGACCATTGACACTGACCACAGGCCTCCCTTTCATCTCTCTCACCCTGCCCAGCCCTGCCCACTGACCTTTCATTCCCACACTGCCTGCCCATGAACATCTGTGGGTCCAGTTTGGGGCAGGGACCCTCTGGGGATGAGGCACTGAGGCTGGGCCTGCCCCCCAGCCCTCTGACACGGAGGCCTCCGAGGGGAGTGAGCAGGAGGAGCGCGAACGACTGCGCAAGGTGCTGAAGCAGATGGGGAGGCTGCGTTGCCCCCAGGAGGTCAGTGGGACTACGGGGGGACAGTGTGGGGCGAGGCACAGCCCTTTGCTGGCTTCTTACTGACCCGTGACCTCCAGGGCTGTGGGGCCGCCTTTTCCAGCCTCATGGGCTACCAGTACCACCAGCAACGCTGTGGGAAGCCGCCCTGCGAGGCAGACAGTCCCTCCTTCCCCTGTACCCACTGCGGCAAGACCTACCGCTCCAAGGCTGGCCATGACTATCACATGCGCTCGGAGCACACAGCCCCGGTGAGTGGCCAGTCCGCCTGTCCTTCAGGCAGCGAGTACGCGTGTCCCGCCCCCCCACACACACACTTGCTCATGTGCCCCTGCCCACAGCACATGTCTGGTTCACCGCACCTTCAGGCCATGTGGCTCCTGTTACTCACCTTGGCCTCCTCACCCTGCAGCCCCCGGAGGAGCCCCAGGACAAGCCCTCTGAGGCCGAGGACCTGTTGGGTATCGAGCGGACCCCCAGCGGCCGCATCCGCCGCACGTCGGCCCAGGTTGCCGTGTTCCACCTGCAGGAGATTGCAGAGGACGAACTGGCCCGAGATTGGACCAAGAGGCGGATGAAAGATGACCTGGTGCCTGAGACGGCTCGGGTGAGCCACCTGGGCTCTGAGCAGGATGTGCCTCCACGTGGGGTCCCCTGTGATGGCCCTGCCCCCTGTGACCTGGGCCAGCAGCTGACCTCCAAGGTTCAGATCTCCCTATGGAGGGTACAATTGAGGGCCTCTTTAGAGCAGTGGGAGCGTCGCTGTCAGCTCTGGCCCAGCTGCCGGGGCTCACCCCGGTGCCTGCCTGTTTTCACAGCTCAACTACACTCGGCCAGGCCTCCCCACACTCAACCCCCAGCTGCTGGAGACCTGGAAGAACGAAGTCAAGGAGAAAGGTCACGTCAACTGTCCCAATGACGTGAGCTGGGGCAGACTGGTGGGTGGGCAATGGGGACTTAGGGACAGAGAGCCCAGGTGTGGCCCTGGGTGGCAGCCTTCCAAGTGGCCAGCCTACCTGTGGTCCCTGGGCCTCTGCAGGGTGCTCAGACAGAACCCTGTTGGCAGAGAGGCCTCGACCTCAGCCCCAGAGGCCCAGCCTGCCCACAAGTCTCCATGGGGTAGGAGCTATGATTTGTGTGGGGGCGCTGCCTGGAGGTCCTCCCCATGACTGTCTCCTGCCCAGTGCTGTGAAGCCATCTACTCCAGTGTGTCCGGCCTCAAGGCCCACCTCGCCGGCTGCAGCAAGGTGAGTCCCAGGCGGTCCACCCCGTGGACGGGTGCGCAGCAGTGCCCCCGGGACCCACAGGGGGGCATGCGCCCTCACCTTTGGGGCAGCCTCTTCCATGAGCCCAGGGACCAGCCGGTGCTCCGGGACCTTTGCCGTCCTCCAGCCACAGACATGAGTCAGTCCCAAGTTGTTCCGCCCAGGGGCTCCTCCCGTGGGTACCAAGGGGCACGCTGACCTGTCTAGATAAGCCAGGGCCACCTTCCACGTAACTGCAGGTGGGGAAGTCCTGTCCAACACCTGGGGCTGAGCTGCCCGTGTCTTGCAGGGAGACCACCTGGTGGGAAAGTACCGCTGCCTGCTGTGTCCGAAGGAGTTCAGCTCTGAGAGTGGCGTCAAGTACCACATCCTCAAGGCCCACGCAGAGGTGGGTGGCACAGCCTGTGCCAGGGGCCCGGCCTGTGCTGGATGGACAGGCGGCGGGGTGGGGGTGATGTTTGAGTGAGAGGCCAACATGGAAAAACCCGGCACTTTCCGTGCTTCTCTCCCAAGTGGCTTCAGCTCCCGAGGCCGGGAGGCTCAGCGCCCTCTGTCCGGGCCTCTGGCTGTTTGTCTCTCCCCAGAACTGGTTCCGCACTTCGGCAGGCTCGCCTCCCAAACACAGGAGCCAGGGGTCACTGGTGCCCAAGAAGGACAAGAGTCTGGCAGGCGGGAAGAAGCGGGGCCGCAGGCCCAAGGAGCGGCTCCCGGAGGAGCCTGCGCCCAAGACGGCCCCCCGCCAGGAGGACTGGCCCCCAGGAGGCAGAGACAAGGGGGCCCAGGACTCCACTGGCCGGAAGGTGGGAGCCAGCAGTTCACCCGAGAAGTGAGCATGGTGGCTGTCAGGGCCTGCCCCCACGCTGGCCAAGCCCTCTGTCCAGAGTGGGGTAGCTAGCTCTGGGATACCCTGCCCTCCAGTTCCCCACCCCCTCCCTGCCCACCCCTTTGTCCAGTGGGGCAGCCAGCCCTGCTCTGCTCCTTGAAGGTGGCCCTTCCCCTGGCAGGTTGCTGCAGGCACACCTGGGCTGGGGCTCCCCGAGAAGAGCCAGTGGCAGTCACAGAAGTGCCATCGCCTGGAGGGACACTCACAGGCCTGGCAGAGCCTGGAGGGGTAGAGGGCGGGTCTGCAGCCTGGGCCTCCGCGCCATGGGGGTGCTGCAGAGTGGCCAGATGCCTTTTGGCCCCGGCCATGAGCGCTGCATGCCCCACCTGCTTCCTCAGGCCCAAGGCTCGGGGGTCCCTGCTTCTGGGCTGATGAAGGTACCTCAGCAGCCTCGCCTCTCTCCCCAACACTGGAACCCCAGCACCCCCAGCTACCTCCCTGGACAGACCCTGAGTCTGATCGCTGCCGTGCTGACCTGGTGGTCCGTCCCCTTCACCCTTCCCGCCTCTGGTTCCTCAGCTTCTGTTCTCTACCTCTCCAGGCCCACCCTCCCTGCCGGTGTGACCCCTGCTGTGCTTGGGCCCCGACCCACTGGCTTGTGTCCATGCTGGTGGGGAGAAGGTGGCCCCGCCAACGGGCTCTCTGCCACCCCCAGCGGTACTCCCTGCTTGGGGCAAGGGAGGGCCTCTGGTTTTCTGCTTGCAGGGCAGCAGGAGCTGGGGCCACGAGGAGCACGCTCTAGCTTGGCCGTCACTGTGGGCCTGGCTGGGATGCCTGATCGGTCAGGGATAGCCCAGTCTGGGCCTGGGGCCGTGGGCATGTCGGGCCGGGAACTGAGCCCAGCTCTGCGGAGTGAGCACTGCAGGAAGCAGCCTGTCTGCTGGTCTGGCCTGGCCTGTGGCCAGGCTCCTGAGGGAACACCCACCCTTTGCTTTTACCTGCCCCTTTGTTTCTGGTTGCGTGGTCTTTTGATGTGAGAGCTGAAGGCCAGGGAGGGGCTCGCTGAGGTCACAGTAGGTTGATGGGAGCTCGGGGCTGCCTTGGCTCCCTTTGGGGCCTTGAGGACAGCTAGGCCTGCAGGTTGGGCAGGGTTCAGGCTGGAGTCCAGGGCACCTGGAGGAGTGGGTCCACACCTCTGGCCTCCTCCCTGGGCCCCGCCTTCCAGCTGTGGCGTTGCCTGGGGAGGAGGACACTGAGTCACTGGGTTTGGATGGAGGCTATTTTCCATAGGGGGTGGGGTGGGCTGAGGGCTCGGCCTTGCCGATCCTGGACGATGTGAATTTTGATACTTTCCTGTGTGCTTGTTTCCCCTGGGTGTGTAGTGGATGCCAGTCTTGTGGCTGTGACAAGTAACAACCTTTTTTTTATTCTGTTTTTTATACAAAAACTTACAACAATCTGACATTTTGGTGCTAAGGGTCTCCTGGTGCCAATGGTGGATCTGGGGACTGGGCTAGGGTCCCAGGGGTCCCTCCTCTGCTCAGGGAGGCAGTACTGACTGGGCACCCTTCTGCCTCAAGCTGCCATCCTTACCCAGCCCTGGAGAGGAGGGGCTCCAAGCTGGTCTGGGCTCTCCTCACCCTGCAGTAGGGGGACAAATTCCCAGGGGCTGGGGGCCAGGTCACTGTGCTGCCGGTCTCTGGCTTCTTTGTCCAGAGCTCTGACCCTGGGCAGCCTGGCCTGGTGGTGTAGGGAGGGGGTGTAGAGATGTGGATTCTTCCTGCCCGCACACATGGCACATGGGAGTGACCCAGTGTCAGTCAAGGTGGGCACAGGGGCTGGGCTCTGGGTGTCACTGTGGTGTGGAGCCGGTGGAGGTGGGTCAGGCAGCCACTGCAAGGGCAGCCTCAGGAGGGGAGGGGAAGCAGGCGCTGACAGGAGCCCCAGGTACACTTTCTCTGCCCTTGTCACCAATGGCTGGAGGAGGTTGGGCCTCAGCACCTCTACTGGGGACAGCCGTCTGCCCCAGCCTCTCAGGTACTTGGCCCTTGGGGTGTGAGGGGCTGGTTTTTGCTGGGGGTGTTTCCAGGTCACCCTCCAAAGTCCACAGATGGCCCCTGGAGTGGGACCCCCACCCAGATGTGTGGGAAGAGGTGGGGTCTTGGATAACTTGATGTTTAGCACTTTAACCTCTTTTTTGTCTCTAAAGGGTGTGGGGGCTGCTGCCAAAGCGGCGAGTGGGTTGGACCCGGCTCCCTACACCCCAGTTCTGGTGGTTGAGTGCAGGGCAGAGCCTGGGGGCTCAGCAGGATCTGCCCACCTCCACTCTGGCAGGAACGCGGCCAGGTGACCTGGCCTTGGCTGACGCCTTCAGCGAGAGGGTCCAGAGTGGCAGACGCCAGGGTGCAGTAGGCACAGACTATGCCCGAGACCCAGCCCAGGGCACAGTGCCGGGTCCCTTTCTGAACATCTACCTCTGGCCCTGCCCCCCCCCCTTTGCCCTGAGAACAGGAAAGGGCTGACACTTCACACAAAAATAGGATGCACTTTATTTGCTTGTGCAAAGGCAGATGGATGAGGGTGTCTCCTGATGTGACTGGTGGCCCTCAGCTGTAGCCTGCCCCCTGCCCCCCTGTTCCTCTGGTTCAGAAGGGAAAGGACCCGTTGCACCGACCTGCGGGAGGCAGGGCTGTCCCCGCGGGTCCTCGCTCTGCGGCCTCAGGAGGCTAGTCCTGGAACTGAGGTGCAAGGGGGCCGGCCAGTTCCTCCCGCCTGGCGGACACGCGTCCTTACTTTGGGTTTCTTGGTTTGTTTTTTTAATGCCAGTTCTCCGTACATAAGTGCATTTTGAAAGAGAGGTTCCAACTATCCCTGTAACCATATATATACACATATATTCTATCTACAAAGTGTTTATTTGCAAGATGTTTTGACGGCGGCGAGCTCGGGCCCTGCTCACCTCGTGACCGTCTGTCCCGGTCCTCGTCCCCGCCCCCAGGCCCTGAGTGGCACGGGCGGGCCATCAACTGTATGTATTAAAAATGACTGTATCAAATAAATGTCTATTGATGGTTTTCCAGGGGCTGCGTGGGCTGAATTTGTGGCAACACGCGGGGTGGGGTCCTTTCCCGGCTGACGATGCCCAATTGGGGGTGGGGGGTACCCAGCCGCATAGCCTTGTGGGATTTGTAGTCCGCGGGACGCTCCTGCAGGCTCCCAACTGCGGCTCCAGCGGCCCACCCCGCCCATTCGTCAGCGCTGAGGCCTGGAGCT